AAWTTTAATGWAAATCACYGTCTTCCCACGATTGACCGAGCTTTATGCAAAATTCACAAGTCGATCGGCTGCTTCATTCCGCGCTCTTCGACAACCAMGTCTTTCCTTTCAGMAAAGAGAAAAATTCTATCGGTTTAKCGCRCAAAGTCAAGTTTTGTTTCACGGGTTTTATGAYTTCACTCTAAGTTCGTCTATTTAGCACTATTGGGTTTGAGTGAAGTCAAAAAATCTGTGAAATATATAGATATTACACTTACAACTGGCGCTGCCATGCCAACGCCKTGCTACGAACTCCCATTGATTCATACGTCGAGCTGTTCATGTGCTAAATTCAAACTTTTTGGTTCGGCGCGACGCTAGCTCGACCGGGGTTTTAGTGAACAAGTGAAAATAACAACTTTTCGAAAAGGAGAAATATAGGTATATTTCAAAGATAATGATAGGATAACTTGAAATCTAGACTCTTACCTCGGTATTGTCTCTCWGCAGTGATATCGGCGTCGTAAATCTTGAAGTAAATTCTACAAAATTATAAACAAAATCTCTCCGTAAGAATATTTTTTTCTCCGCCGCCATAATTGATCAATGCAGGCTTCGGTCAGATATCCCGCCTTCAGATATGCGTGCACCAACTTTAATCACATTTATAGGGTGGTAAACCCCAGAAAAAAATTCTCAGAACATATGTCGATTGTTGTTAGGTTTTCATTTATCAACTAGACGCTAATGTTCGCTTGCGCGACCATAGTCCATATCGCAACCCGCGGAAAGTCTTGTGACGCAGTGCATTTTGGGATTGATAAATGAGTAAACAGGGGAGCAACGATGTCAGTGCTCCAGTTGTCTGTGATGCAATCTCAGTTTTCGAAAAAACTTTGGAAACATTGATATTGTAGTTAATCTAAGAAGCGAAAAACTAAACAAACATCAACATGCAATAGGAAATAGAGCAAGAAAATCCTCCAAAAAATAATCGAGAATTTCCATTTACTAGGCAATTCAAGCAAAAATGAAAACAAAGATATTTTGGCTGTGGAAAAATCGAAACTAATTCGTGTTTTTACGATTTTAGCGATTTGTTTTGATGAAGAAAGGGAGATATATATCCCATGATACATTGCAAACCGATTAAAAATGGCGAGCTTGTGATATAGACTATGCGCGAGATCTAAACTTGTTCTTTAAGCGTATTTTCAAGGGTAAAAATAAACATAATGTAACTAAAAGCCGTTGCTTCAATGGCTCCTTTTTCTCATGTGCTGTAAAAGCGTGTAAAAGCGTATAAAAGCATGTATCCAGACCCTTTTCATCTTCCGACCGAAAAGGTCTCTGGGAAAAGGTCTCACAGGAAGCCCAMGTTGTGCATAATCTTGTCTTTACGAGAGATTACGCGGAAAATCCTTTCTGAGAGTCTGGAGAGATATTGGCTTAGAGCTGGAACCACAACATTTCTTGCTTCCAGCAGTTTACAGGTTCTCCCAGATCCTTCTACTATAGGCCAATAAAATAAGGTCTGATACGAGAAAGGATTCAGCCATAGTAACTGGAAATTTCCAGAGCCTATTATCCAAGTCGCGCATTATATTGGCTCCACCCTAAGGGTTTGATTCATCCATTCCAGAAAACGAGACCTAATCAAAGATTTATCTAATAACTTGATGGAGCACATTGATGTTTTATATTCTAGGTCTTTTTTTTTTGAAAGCACAGACTGGATCTTTAATGTTAAACAAAGTATAAGTTGAATCAAGGAAATTGATGTGACCGTTGCCATTGGAAACTAGATGTTCCGAAAAGCTTTCACTTCCAAAGTCATAACCAAAGTCGACTATCACAGCAAAATGCCCGAGATTTTCAACTGTCTATTGCTTTTATTATTCAACAACAAAATTTTCTGAAGTGGCGGGCTCTACGTACTGATGGGAGCCCTCCACGGCGGGAACTATGGCGTCACGTGGTCGTCTCTCTACCAATGAGAGCGGAGAGAAATCTGTTGTTGAATTACTATATGCAGCTGCATTCTTCTTGACAGAAGACTTGCATGTAGTTAATGTTAAAATACCTTTCAGAGAGAAATCAGACCACCAAACTCTTCCAATGCAGTAAAGTACCAGAATTACTCCACAAATCTGAATATGAAGACATAATCCGGTTAGAAAAATATAAACAAAAAATATTCAAATGATTTTCTTTTTATTCCAAATCATTAACTTTGGGGGAGACTCCGGGGTAAAACTATCGGGGGTTCTCGTCTGAAACTACCGGGGATTTCTCGTCTAAAACTACCGGGGGTTCTCGTCTGAAATTACCGGGGATTTCTCGTCTAAAACTACCGAGGGTTCTCGTCTGAAAGACCCCAGAAGTCTTGAAAAAAGCCTGACTGATTTTTAACCCCAAAGAGATTGCACAACAAATATTGTTAAATCAAATCATCCATAACGACAAAACAAAACTCAGATCCCCCTGAACTTGGCGGCGTTCTTGGTAAAGACATTCCGTTGTCATAGGATTTTTAAAAAGACCCACAGAGTGTAGTTACTTGTCATCTTTAATATTCCTACGCCGATCGCTCATAATCGCCTAAAAATTGCTCTGAAACTAAGATCAGTAGCTTTAAATAGTGCAACGTTTGCTAAAATCGTGTTTAAAATCTCACAAAATCACAGAAAGTTAGGGCGATCGAGAAGCAAAATCGAATGATAACAATGCTAAAGTCTGAAAAAGTACCAAAAAACTGAAAGTAAAATAGTAGTTTAAGAAAAGTCCTGGTTGTTTCAGAGATCTGGTTGACAATAGTCAAGTTTAGATATTTTGTTTCGATGACTATGTACAAAAGAGCGCACACGAGACTCCGGGAAAACAATGGATAATCTTTATCTATTAATCTATTTCCCCGGAGCCTCTTCTGCAATTATTTTGTGCATGGTCACTAAACCAAATATCTAAAGTTGGCTATTACGCGCTGAAACCCCCTTTTTACCTTTTTTATTCTGCCCATGATGCAACGGCCTTGCAAGTGTGTAGCCACGACAGTATCCTTACCCTGATAAGCTCCAAACCTCCGAAAAATAAAGGAACTTCTGAAGTCTTCGAGTATTCTCTTTGCGTTATCCAAAGTTGTGTATAGTTCATGATGTCAAACTGGTTTATCACCGATTTAAACCGGTTTGGTAAACGTAGCCTGAGTATCAGGCTCTCTCGACGGGGATTGGGGCCGATCGACACTGACAAAAAGAGGAATTTTGATGAATGTCGTGCAGGAGTTGAACGGCAACTCTTCTTCACTTACTATCGGGATAATCCTCTTCAACCACTGTGCTACTTGCAATCCTAGACAGAATTGAATGGGACAGAACGCTATTACTGCGCTCTAGCAGATGCACTCTCTTATTGGGTGTTTTAATGCTTACTCAAATCCTTTCCCCTACCCCCACAGTCAATGTTGGTTAACAATGTTGATGGCGGGAATAATGTTTCGGTATGGAAGGAGGGTTTGTTTCGAGCCCAACATTGGAAATGGGGGCCCCTGACGGGGGAGAATTGTCTGTAAGTTTTGGTAGACATATAGACATACACTTTGTCCCATGTGAGGCAGAGTTCCGTATATTTCACTTGTTTGCAAAATAAAAAATTTTAGCCTGGCAGGTTCTTATAAGCAAAGTTTCGCCGTATTCAAAAAACGAAAACTAAGTTCATTTTGTCATTGTTGTATACAAGAAAGATTATTAAAGTCATAAAATTTCTGACTGATTTATATTCATAAGAACAACAAAAAGAAATGATCATATTTCAAAAAACGTCGTGGGGAGAACGGCGATTGTCGAAGTGAGAATGCACTGAGAATGCACTACTGAAAATTTAAAACTTCTCTAATTGATTCCTTTAAGATTTCACAGCCTGTATAATTTGTTTAATAGTATATATTATTTCGCTTTTGATAAGACACGGATAGCTTGTTTGATAGATAATTCACGATAGGCAGATTCACGATAAATTCATCAAATGCCCTTTCGAAAAATGCTCCATATCATTTAGTGTGGCTCTACCGCGAATGGTGTGTGGATTTGTAAGACATTTCGTTTCGCATGGCCAAAATTCTTTAGTCTGAATATCACTGATCAGGTTTCTTTTTGTTTTAAGCTTTTGAAGGATATTGTCATTAGTTACTCTATCGCTCCACTTTATGCTTTCTAGTCTTCAAGAGCACCACATTTCTACTGATTCTCTTTTTGCCTCGAGAACTTTCGACAGGGTCCATGCTTCACGGCATAATTAACAATTAGACCTCGAGGGCGAGTGGACTACGAGCTAATAGCCCATGAGGCCGAGTTCGCGAGGCCGAATGGTCTATTAGCTCGTAGTCCACGAGACCGAGAGGTCTAATTGTTTAAGTATAAACATACTAATCGGCCAAATAATGAAAACAAATTGAAATATCCTTTAAATGATTTATAATTTATTTATTTTGATTTTCCCGCGAGACGTGGTCCATCACAAATTAGACCATTAGTAGAGTAGCCAATCACAGCGCWGTATGAGTGATAGACCATTAGTATGTTTATACTAACACTAATTATACATTTATTCGTCTCGTGAATGATAATCTAACAATTTTGATGATTCGATGGCGCCAACCGTAATCATATTATAAATTTGTTTTTTTTACGACCCCCGAAATTATTCCATAACTAGGTAAACAATCCCAGAAGAAAAGAAAAGAACAATCTTGTTGTATGTACAGTTGTATGTAATTTTATTTACCACAGCTCTCGACCAATCAGAAATCGATAATTTTTACAATTGTTGTAAAAAGTATGCTATATACCAAACACAGTGCTAAGCTGTAAACAATAACATTAATTTAGTAGAAAATGTCATCTACGTGTAAAAGAAGAAGAAAAAACGGCGATATTTCTTAAGTGAGAAAATTGCGCAAAGATTTCCTTGCTCCTCATATTACATTAAATAGTTAATTCATTCACGAATGGCCGACAACTAGCAGTTGCTGGCGAAAGCTAGCCTGTGTACATCCGTTTCTCATCCCTCCAAAAAAATCGGGTTTTTTTCCGATTGTTCCCCGATTTTTTTGGAGGGGTGAGAAACGGATGTACACAGGCCAGCGAAAGCCGTTTTTAATTCCAATTTGCGCTTTCTTAAGAGAAAACTAATTTGGGACTTTGAGTGAACTAAATACAAAAAACAATGGTTTCTTGTGGTTTTATGATCCAGAAATAGGCTAGTTATTTTACTAAAAACGATATTTTTACTTGTTTTTTCATTATTTCGTAAACATTTCCTAGATTTCTAAGTTAATATAGCATTATTTTCTACCCACGCAAAGCGGAAACCGTTAAAGATACATACACAATCAACTGGATAATAACTAGATAGAAAAGATTGAAAAACAACTGGCAAACAAGATAGATGTATCAACATTAAACTTATGAATAAAAATTGATCAAATCAATATCGAAGCCGACAATTATTATCATTATAAATCATGCTATACTGGCTCTTTTGCTAGTGAAAAGCAGTTTACAATATAACTACCTGTTCTTCATTCGTCTGATGTGCAAATTTAAGATCATAACAGCTTGTGATTACTTAAAAAAAAGCAAATTTAAAATTGTCGAAACCAAGCCGGCTAGAACACCTATCCAGTGCCCTGTAGGAGAAATTCAATTATTTGGTCTTTATAACTCCTGAATTGYCATCTTCAATTACCCACGAGTATYGGAAAAAGTTTAAATGCACTCTRGATGAATATTACACAAAACCTGGTTGCCTACCACAGCAGTTAGCAAACCCATACCTTTATTTTTCATCATAATCCATAAATGAGGCTTTTGAAGGACTCTTATGTGTACATTTGTATACAGGAAATGAACGGCTCACTCGAAGGGAATCATCTAATAACATGGACAAAACAATGTTTTTAGAGCAATCCGGGATGTAATGTTTGAAAAGAACAGAACATCCAGCTTAATGGAAATTTTTTATTTAATGAAAAAGTTTACTAATTAGTCACAAGCACAGCGGAATTCTTTTTTTTTTTTTTTCAAACATTTTCGATGTTTAAAAAGCTGCTCTTTTTGTAACTGCCAAGTGGAAAGGTCCTCACAATGGAGTTTAATAAGTTTCCTTTCAATTCGTGTCCGGGTCTTGGAGCTTTCTCGTTTGCATGACAAATATAGACCGAATTGTACTTGAGCTGAGCCATATAAGCTTTTCGTAATCATCAGCTTAGGTTTGGCGTYCAAAACAAGGCRTTCAAAGCAAAACATTTCTGTTATWTTTTGCTGGAAAATCCCAGGGAAGTTTATGTACTTAAGTTGGMTGATAGATAAGGTAAGTGAAAGACAAAAAGTTGTCTTTGAAATATTTACCGTTATAAGGCATTTGTTTGATTGATAACGATGAAGAACACTTCGAATAAACAAGTAGTTTTAAAACCCACATTTTAGTGGCTGAATTAATGATTGTCGTCTGCTGCACACAAGACGTACTTTTATCGGTCCCAATKTTAATTTTACTTCGSYTTTTTKKKYTSWRA